ACCTGTCAGCAGTCTCGTGATGACTTGAACATTGGCACAAAGCAGAGTGAATACTGTGAGGATCAACAGCTGAAAGACGAAGGGAGAACGTTCATAATCATTGGCAGCAGTGACCAGCCCACTGAACCACGCCTTGGGTGACGTTAGTGCTTTGGTTAACGGCGGACAGTAAGTACGAAGACCCTGAACGACTGCTATGATAGCGATAGACATTGAAGGAATCGCCAACAAGAAATTGGGAATGTTGTTCGGCGTATAATACTCCAACAAGCCAACGTGCCAGTACTCCTTCTGTATAAAGCTGTATATATTACCTCGACCTTCACACCACGGTCGACTGTCCAGACTGTCACTGCAATAGAGCGACCGCGCATAGTTCAGATGGAGCCCCATTGGAAGCAGCACCAGAAGGGCCAAGGGAATAGTCATGAATAGACATCTGCCATGAATGCCATAGGAAATCAGAAAAGGAGCATTTAGTGTGCCGTTTGAACGGACTGAAGTTGCTGTCGACAGAAGTACGGCCGACATCAACAGTAACGCTGCTTGACGGAACGCATTCAAGTGACTACCTTCGTATAGCAGTAGCAGGCCACCAAACGTGAGCATAGAGTAGAAGGACTCAGTGTATACCGCTGACATAAATATGTTACTCATAGGCATTGCGAAGATGAGCGCTCCATAATAGGCGATCATGGCCGCATGCTTACCCTTCAATACTGCCAAACCTAACCAGTATAGAAAGACCGAGGCCACTATAAATGATACATTCGTAATGAGTACACCACAAAGCAGTAGGCGATCTGTCCGGTTGAAGGGGAACATAGTCGATGGTAGCATCCTCTCTAGAGCGTTGATGGCAATTGACAGACCCGGGAAGAAAGCATGAGTATGCTCATATTCGTAATCCTGGATCTGAGCAGTACGGATGAAATATACACCGTCCCAATAGGCTAATGGGCTCAACCAGCGGCCTAGTTCATCCTGAGCGGCTGGATAGATATTTGCTGAGGTATCATAAGGATGCATGAAGTGAGCAGAGAGCAGGCCAACGACGAGACAAAGGACTCGTGAGATCACCGCTACCAGAACGATTCTTAACGTATTGTTGATGCTCATAGTGATACCGGGTCGATACTAAATGAAAC